ACTTTGGAGGTGCAAAGCACATGCCGAACGGAGAGACAGAACTCGCTAATCTGTCAAGTGCTCCTTGTGCATCTTCCATACATTCGATCAAGCAGACGATGTCGTTAGCGTACTCCAAATCGCACAGCTTTTCTCCAGTTGCCCATTTAATACCAACATTTTGGAGACCACTTGGTGTGTTCTCGAGTATTTCGTCTATGACGAAATTGAACAGGAATGGCGAAAGAGGGCATCCTTGACGAACACGGCTGCTAGTTACGAATGCCCTACTCAGCTCACCGTAGACCATTGCGCTACCAGAAGTATGCAAGTAGAGTGCCCTCAGTATGTTCACATACTTCTGCGGCATTCCTTTGCGAAGGAGCGAACCCATAAAGGATTCGCGGTCAACCGAGTCGAAGGTTCCTTTTAGGTCAAGGAACACGACGGTGGTCGACGGTGCGTATGGCGTACGGCTTCAGAATATGTAATCTACTTTGTGGTAAAATATTTACCGGGCTACTTGATGCCGAACTTTGGCAAGCGTCGCACAAGTTTTCTAAGGGAATGTTAAGGGTTGGAGGAGGGGGTAAAAGGAGAGGGTTGGAAATGGAAGACAGAGTTAAACAAAGGTGGGGATATCTGAGCAGTACCCCACTCATCACGAACCAACCCGCTCGATGCAATGGGCAGCGCGGTCCTGTTTATCCTGCGCGACGGCCGATGCAGTGTGGGATTAATTTTTGTTTGTCTGCATTATAAATTGATAAACGGGTACTGCGAGAGTGTCCAGCCACTAAGCGGCTGGTCACCCTTCCCTTGCGCCCCACGAAATGCTCCCATACGACCAAGCATCTCAAACAGCTTCTGCTGAGGAAGCCCCACTCACTGCCTTCTCGTGGTGGTATTTTTCTACCAGAGTAAGAAGACGAAAAACCAATATCCGGAGCTACAACCGGGTTTGTAGACCACTGGTAGTTCACCTAGAGGAGTTGGTTAAAAACCGATTCCAAACTAACCAAGAGAAGCGTACGAATCACATACACCTCCCCGGTCGTGGCAGTGGTCACCGGCCAGATGGAGTATCAAGGTGTATTGGGAACCATGGATGTTTGACCCCGCCAAGTGCATATGATCCGATGAACTGGACACCGGCTCCCAATGGACTGCGTTTTTCGCACAACGCTCCGCTGCCTTGCGGGTCAGGCTTTGGCTAGCCGAAGGCTCCGGTTGTAGATTCCTTAAGAAAATTCACCTGCCTTGTCCTGGGTAACCTGGCATTATTCCGCCCACACGCAACTCATGGAACATTTTCTTTCCATGAAGATTCTTGTACCATAATTTGCTTGGCACACAGTCTGTACTCAGACAAGTATGAAACATAGTAATAATGATAATAGCGTGCCAGTTGAACTGAAACGCCACATTGCCTTCCGTTGAGAGCTGTCGGAAATTGGTACTGGATAAGAACAGATGATGATCTACGCAGAACTGAAGAAGTCGATCACCGCTATCTGTTCGTTGGCAGGGCAAAGCATAACGACCGCCTAGACAAGCCTCTGATGCGCTCAGTTCTCCGACCTGCGCGTCAAAGTCACCTACAAGTATATCTATGCCGGAGCTTCGACTCATCCGAATGAGACCGGTGTGTTCATCGTAGAAAGCGTCCTTTTTGTATCAGAACTGCAATTTGTCGATGCATACGCCGATACGATGAACAAACACCTGTTGTTGTTGCTTTCTTTCCGGACGCTGATGGAACCCTGGAGACGCGCATCACATCAACGACTGTTGACGGGGATCCAATCGACCGGAGAGGACTCAGTCTTGTTACTGAGTATACAACATACCCCGCGCTGACCTACTGGACGGGCTTTATCGTCGCCTAATGTGCGAAGAACGCATCTAGAAGATAAATCTGGCGCGCTCAAGTGGCTTAAAGTATTGGGATCCTGAACTCTAGTCTTTGACACGCAGCAAATATCGATCCCTAAGGATTCCATTGTGCGCGCCACACAAGCTTGTTGACCTACCTGCATCAGAATCCTCACGTCGAGGGCCCCAAATTCAGTGATTCACGAGGCTTTAGAATTTGCAGACCACTTCGTGGTACATTACTTATAGTGCTATTTGGCAACAATCTTTGACGAGCGACATCCAGGTTGCTTGAAGGACTATTACAGGTCGGAAGAAGGGGCAAATGGAGAGGGCTGGGTAAATAATTAAACAAAAGTTAGTATATCTGAACAGTGGCCCACTTATCACGAACCAACCCGCTCGTTGCAATGGATAGCACGGTCTTGATTATCCTGCGCGACGACCGATGCAGTATGAAATTATTTTTTGTTTGTGTATGCCTTGGGGTTTGATGGACAGGTACTGCGAGGGTGTCTAGCCATTAGGCAGAACAATTAGGGTTCGCGTCCGAAGCCTTCAGTTCTGACAAGAACCTAACCGCAAGGCAGCGAGCGAAGCGAAGTGAAGGCCCATTTACTTGGATCGACTACTCCTCCGCCATCTTCACCGACTGAAACGCAAATTCCTGTCGAACCACCAACCTGGAGGACCAAGAGACTGGACTTCGTCTGACTTCCACCCATTGACCTTCCAGGCATGATAAGATCTGGATTGACAAAAGCCATTCTGTGTAGCTCGTTGGGTCAGAGAGGTGCACAAGCCATCACACCACGTCAAGGAGCAGTTTCGTCGTGATAATCATACTGAAAGCAAGTGACTAAAGGATATGCAATATTGGACTGGTTTAGGCCAACAATTAGTTGTTCCAAATTTGAGTCAGCTCCCTCGTTAAACTAGGGCACCACTGTTCTGTTAGTCACTGCTGCCAGAAGTCGGTAACAGACAGGAATAACGGATCTCAGAACTGAAGTAGTCGATCACCGTTGACTGTAAGCTAAAACAGCAGACCACGACCTAAGACATGCTTCTGATAAACTCAGTTTTCCAATCCGAGTGATAAAATCACCTGGTAGTACAATTACATCGGAGTTTCCGTTCAACCGAATGACTTCGGTTTGTTGTGTAACTCGTCCCTCAGTGGAGGCAAACAGAATTATCGAATCAAAATTCACTAACTAAAGCCAGTCTGTTTTGACTATTGACATCATAACAAGATACAAGTAATGGTTACACAATCATCGATCATGCAAACAAGGATACGTACAAAATCGCCATCACCATTACCAACAACACCAACATAAATAATAGACAGTTTTGTTCTCGCCTGGTTCAATACACCACCTGAGCTATCTGGGTCAAAGTAGTGTTTCAATTGTAGTTCTAAAGCTTAGGTTTCTGGTTTCCAAAACTGAACAGCAGACCTTCCAAATGTTTGTCACATTGAAGTGTACCTAAAAAAAAACGCGGTGGTGCAAACTTCACTGGTCTCATCCAAGATGGCGACAAACAAAATAATAATGGGTGTACGTAGAACGCGACTGCTTCGTGGTTTTCAATGAATCGTAACCGAAAAAGCCTCGCTAAGCTGTGACTTTAGTTAAGCCAGTGTTTGGGGCCATACAATGAGGGAAACATCAATCCTTTGATTTAGGCCAGAAAGTAACATTGCAAAATATGCATCGGATGACAACTTACACATAATTGAGAAAGTAAAATGACCATTTATAGTTTAAAACGTAATATGGAAAGATAAAGTAATCATGTCGTACTTACCATAATTACATTCAGTTGGATCTTCTTTGTTAACCAGCATGAGGGAATGGCATAATGAGTGAGGAATGACAGATTGAAACTGAGGGAAGACCGATAGGGTAAATTCCTGATCTCCTAAACGCTGACCAACGGATGGGCAAGCGGCGGAACCGGTAAGGTCCTTTGATGCATGTTGATTATTCCATGCAGGAGAAGATGAAATGTAATTAGTGGGACATGGGGGAAGTAGGCTTGCGACAATGCTTGAGGGAGTCTCCGTATCGACCGGGGTGGGCTGAGAGGAATGTGAAACTCGGGACGGCGGACGCAACCCACGTGCCATACCACGAAGCACACCTGCCAGAGCAGGAGCGAGAAAGAG